GTGAGGTTGGCTCAGGATCAGACAGTGTTTCGTTCTGCTGTGCATAGGATCAGTATGAGTTGATACCAACTCAATGGTACCTAACAACAACATTGTTACATTTAAAGACTTTAGGGTTATTTTTGGTTTAAAGTTTAAAGATTATTTCAAGGTGATAGTTTCAGGGGTTCAACAAGTCTCAGTAGCTTCACAAAGTCTTATGAGAATTTGAAATTCTGTTTCCCATTTGGCTCTTTTATCAGGATTCTTATACAGAATCTTTGATCAGAATGTTCAATAATGGCACCATCAGCCTGGGATTATTTTTCCAAGAAAAATTACATGCATCTAATCCTGATCTTTATAATAATGATGAAATGCTTTCTAGATAACACTGACTTTGAGAAGGAAATAAGCTATTACCATCTCCCATTTTTCAGAATCCTAATACTGAGACCTCAGTTTCCACATTTCTGTTTGTTCATCTTTACAAAAGAGGTATCAAGAAATAAAGGCTTAGGCTGCGGTGATGGGGTGGGGGTGGGGCAGTGTGGCAAGGTATTTCTTAGGTGGCCAGAGGTTTTCTGTTGGGAGGGTATTATCAGAGAGGTTAAGAGAAAAAAAATCAGAATGCAGATTTTATTTAAAGTCCCAATTAAACCTGTTTGGAAAACAGGAAATCAGAGAGATGAAATGATTTGTAGAAAGCCACAGAACGTGGCCCAGTGAAACAGCCTTGGAACCATATGGGGAAGCTCTCCTCCCTCAGAGTTCAAGGAACAAGGGTCACCTGACTCACGGGCAAGTCAACACAGCGGCGCAGACACCTGATTTTAGAAAAAGGGTCACTGATCAGGAACATGAATTCTCCTAGGACTTCAATGCATGTTGTAATGGTCTCTGATTCTCTCAGTCGTCCATCCAGTGAACAAGCATTTACTGAGAGCCTACTATGTACCAGGAGCGGTGCGTGGTACATGCTAAGATACAGTAAGAGAGTTCTGCAAATATCAAGTGGAATCAACTTGATAGCAATGGGTTTTGGTTGTTCTAACAATATATAATTCAGTGCCTGCTGCATGATAAAATGACAAGTTAAATTAAAGACTACAGTTAAATTCTGGAGTTTATATTATTTGTGGGTAAGGCATGTGCAGGGGGTGGGTGGGTGGAGGGAACGTGCATAATGCTTAATTTAATAAGCAATCTAAAGGCACGGAGCCCGAAGCTGCCTCTATGAGGCACACCTCCACCACTGCTATTTACTTAATGAATCCTCTTGGGCGCTCTTTAAATTGAAGGATGGTTCATTATATTTGTGCATCTGCCCTTCTCAGCAATCTGTTGTGTTTCTGACAAAGGCAGGAGAAAGCACGCACATATCATTTTCGGGCACGTTCTGAGTAACTTGGTTTCCAGTGATTACAAAGTCATCAAGAGCCCAGACTGCCTAATTTCAGGAAACAATTTGTCTGAATCCTTCTCTTTCCATTCCCATCTCATTCTGGATTCACTCATCTTGAAAATTTCAAGTATTAAACCCTTTTATTTCTTTTAAATCAATCACGTAACACATTATATTATATGCTAGCTAGAAACAAGCACATTTTTAAGACAGCAGAAAAAAAGTCCTTTAAAACTGACTCTACAATCACCTCTTTCTTTTCTTAAAGTTTCCTCTTTTCAGCCCAAATGAATCCCCATCTCCTCTGGGTCCCTACCGTATTTTATACTTCTGCCTACTGTGACCTGTCCTACTTTATAGTAGTTTTTACATGCTGTCGAGTCAGTTCTGACTCAAAGTGACACTTTTTATAGGGTTTCTGATTAGTGACTGGTGGGGTTGAACTGCTGACTTTGTGGTTAGCAGTCTAATGTTTATCCTACAGAACTACAGCAGGGCTATTTAGAAAATGTTAACAGTAACATTAAATGGAATCGATCAAAGGTGGGTTTCTCTGTCACCACCCACCTGTCAGTTTGTCATAATGTGGTAGCTTATCTGTAGCTAGGATGCTAGAATCTGTATTTCACATACCAAGCTATCACCATGGTAGATGGGTTTCAGTGGAGCTTCCAGACTAAAGCAGGCTAGGGAGAAAATTCTGGCAAACTCCTTCCAAAACTTAGCCAATGAAAATCTTATGGATCACAACACAATATTGTCTAACATAGTGCTGAAAGACCAGCCCCCTTAGATGGCAAGATGAACAACAGGCTTGAGGAGCAGTGTCAACGACTGTGAAGATGGCACTGCACGGGGCAGCATTTTGTTCTGTTGTATATGGGGTTGGCTAGGAGTTGGGGTTGGGTGGATGGCAACTGACAACAGGTTTCCTAAGCAGGACCCTAAACTCTGACAGCATAGACTCATTCACTTGCCACCCCTCAGTTAACATTTACGCAAGCTTATTAGGTTTCTGACACCAAGCAGCCCGCAGTGAGTGGAGGCTGAGACACAAACATGAAGACAAAAATGTCCTTGCGCTCGGAGAACTTAAACTCAAGCGAGGGGAGGCAGACTCTTGTCGCCATCACTCGCACATCACAGGCCAACTGTGACAACTGTATCGAGATGCTTCTCTGAATGGAGTATGCATTTTCACACAGAGCCCTGAAGAGGAAGAGCCGTATTCTTAAAAGGAGTCTGTAAGAGGTTCTTTCATTACTCTTATGGAGAAACTGAGAGAGAGAAAAAAAAAAAGTCATATTAAATGGATTCATTTCTGAATTTGTAGTCCGGAGTAAAGAAATAACCAACAAGCCTGCCTTAAAAGGTTTGCTTTGTCCAGCAATGGACATAGGTAACTGGCATCTATAAGGCTGAGTACCTCAGTTCTTATTCTGGTACCTCCTATATAAATGACACATGTGAAATCGTATGTAGGCCTGGAAATGAGTCACTATTTCTGGTGGGCTGGAAATTCAGCTGGTCAATATAGTGGGGACAATTCTGTTAGATGACAACTCAGTTGTGTTAAATCAACCTAAAGAAAATAAGTGGTAAGAAGCTTCATTTCAAAGTTGCTTAGAATGTGCTGCTGGTAAGCTGATTCATACCTTCAAAGATCTGGCATTAAGTGCTGTGGAAATGTTCATCTGATAGGGACCAGGGATGAAACATTTCAATACACAATTAAAACACAGCAAGTGTAATCGCCACCCAAGGATGAGCGAAATACAATGGTGACCCATAAAGGCAGGGGTGGTAGTAATGGTGGTGGTGGTATGCCTTGGAGTCAGTTCTGACTCACAGTAACCCTGCACAGGGTTTCTGAGGCTGTAAATCTTTATGGGAGCAGATAGCCTCATCTTTCTCCTGTAGAACGGCTGGTAGTTTCAAACTGCTGACCTTGAGGTTAGCAATCCGACTCATAACCACTACGCTACCAGAGCTCCTTATAAAGGTGGTAGTCAACTCCAAAAGTGCTAGAAACTAACTGATGGTGTCGAATCATTCTAGGCATAGGAGTGGTGTCTCCATCTGAACCTCTCTGGGCCCGGGCACTTCTCCAACTAGCTGATTTATGGATAATGAAGAGAGAATCTTTTATTCAACAAATATTTGCTTGTCTACTTCATTCTGGAGACTGTTGCTATTGTTAAGTGCTGTCGAATCGATTCCGACCCATAGTGACTCTGTATAGGGTTTCTGAGGAGAAGCTGGTGAGTTTGAACCGCCAGCTGCTGTTATTGAAGTATATACACATAAATGTTAATCTAATTCTTAATATTCTTTACAGTTGTTGTTATAACCTGCCTTTGAGGTGGTCCTGACTCCTAATGACCCCATGCACAATGTAAGGAAATGCCACCTGGTCCTGTACCATCCCCACGATCTGCTGGGGGCTGGACCACTGTGATCCACAAGGTTTACACAGCCTGATTTTTTTCCCGAAGGAGACTGCCAAGTTTTTCTTCCTAGTCCGTTTTAGCTTGGAAGCGCTGCTGAAATATGTGAACCTCTATGAACACACAGGTGGCTGGTGGTTGTACTTCAGGTGCCTGGGCTTGGGAACTGAACCCAAGTTTCTCACATGGAAGGTGAGAATTCTACCACTGTCCCCTGAACAGTTATTACTAGTCATTTAAAATGCAAATACTCAAGTTTCCACAGAGTCTGCCACTGCAGAAGAAGAGAGAGAGCACGTGCCTTATCTCTGAAAGAGGCAGCAGCAGAACTTTGTACTTCAGACAAGCCAAAGACAGCTGTGACAACATGCCCCACTCACAACTGCCACCTCGCTTCAGTGTTGCCAGGACACAGACAACGGCAGAGCCCCACGTAGCTCTGAAAAGGACGGAAAATCCCTGAGCAGATCACAGTGGTGTCGGATTCTCTAACAGCTCCTCTCAATGTGCACTCAAGCCTCAAAGGACGGATACTTTGAAGTCCGAGTTTTCAGCATTTCGTGTGGAAGTAAATGTTTTCCTCTACACTTATTAAAACAACCGGCTGGTTTTCTGAAAACCTAACATGCTGCCAGCCCCTGTCAGGGTTCAATACTACTAGACATGTAGAAATCACACACATTGAATTTCTGTCCTGTAGACACAGTGGAAATACTCACCCACACATGGGGACTGCCTTTAAGAAGCTGTGAGCAGCTGTTCATTGGTGCACAGAAGAAATGACTACAGACGATGCCTGCTCATTTCTGGTTTTATGAGGCGCATTTACCATAAAGTAGTGATCACAGAGGAGTACAATGTTCTCTCCTCAGAAACATCTACGGTGCGACTGGAGGAACCTGCATGCTCCACACAGGGCCCATGGCAGCCAGCTGTTTGTGAAGGAGCCTCCGTGGAGCCAGACACTGAGCTGGGTTTAATTTAGCATCTGATCAATAGACCTACCAATAAAGTGAAGCTGTGTTCCGGCAGCATCCCATACTGTTGAACAAGCTTGTCTCGGGTCACACTGGGGAGCTCGGGGAGCCTCTCCCGAATGTAGTCTATATCGACCACTTGCTGTGAGTCGGCCCCAGCAGGCAGAGAGTCGGCATCATAGAGTACCAGGGGAGGCAGGTTAGGTTCCGGCATAAACCTAGACAGGGAGGGAAGACCGGGCCTCAGTGCTTGGCTTACTAAGGAAAAAGCAAGCCTGTCAGTCGTACGAATGTTTCTGCATTAACAAACCATCTTACTTACAAATATTTGTCGTGTCTTAAATATCAGTTCTCCCCATTTCCTCACAACTAGTCTTTGCCCCAGTGTAAGCTATAGGTCAAAACCTGCCTGTCTCTGTGGGCACACAGTAACACTGAGTGAAATAAGCAGAGTACAGAGCTGAAGCCACGCTGTAATTTCTAACTGTGGACTGTTTGTTCTGGTGGCGGTGGTGGCTGTTTTCAAGGCTGTTCTGACTCCTGGTGACCTCAAGTGTGCAGAGTACAACTGCTCCATACAGTTTTCAAGGCTGTGACCTTTCGGACGCAGATGGCCAGGCTTGTCTTCCAAGGCGCCTCTGGGTGGATTCCAACTGCCAACCTTTTGGCTAGTAGTCAAGTGCTTAACTGAATGCACCACCCAGGGGCTCCTAACTGTGGATAAAGCATTTATTTATAAATACGACAGCTGAAAAACAGTGGACTAAATGAGACTTATCTACTTTTGGGGAATAAAGATAACTTTCTTCCGTTTTTTTGATTTCCATAATTTTATAGCAATATTTAATAGGAACCCTAGTGGCACCGTGGGCTAATGCGCTGGGACTGCAAGATCGTTTTGAACCACAAGGTCAGTAGGCTCACTAGCCACTTGTTGGAAACCCTATACAGGGTTGCTATGAGTTGGTAATGACTCGACAGTACTTAACAACATTTATGTAATAAGGAGCTCTAGCTGTACTGTGGGTTAGATGTTGGGCTGTTAACTGAAATGTTGGTGGTTCAAACTTACCAGCTGCTCTGCAGGAGAAAGATGAGACGGTTTGCTCCCGTAAAGATTTACAGTCTTGGAAACCCTATACAGGGTCACTAAGAGTCAGAATCGACTTAAAGGCTGTGGGTTTATTCATGTAATAAATGAAAAGTCGAAGAAAAATACCCAAACTTATTCTCTTGAGAAGTAAAGAAATGAGCAGATTGCACTCAAGTCAAATGTACAAACAGTACCATTTCGTATAACCCTATTTTGAAACACAGATGGCCTTCTCTTTAGTCTACTCTAGAGCTAACACTTTCTCTCAGTTCATTATGGTCAAAGGGCTTACATATTAGCAGAGTTGTTGCTGTTGTTATTAAGTGCAGTCCAGTTGGTTCCAACTAATTTTGATTTGATTGTGAAGTGCCGTCGAGTCGATTCCGACCCATAGCGACCCTGTACAGGGTTTCCAAGGGTGTAAATCTTTACGGGAGTAGAAAGCCTCATCTTTCTCCCGCGGAGCGGCTGGTAGTTTCGAACTGCTGACCTTAAGGTTCGCAGCCCGATTCGTAACCACTACGCTACCAGAGCTCCTTGGTTCCAACTAATAGTGATCCTATATAGGGTTTCCGAGGAGCAGCTAGTGAGCTTGAACCGCCGATCTTGCAGTTCAAACCAATCTTGCAGTTCAGTGCATAAACCCACTGCACCACACATCCTTTTGGGATCCCAAAAGCCAGTTGCCATAGCTTTCTTAACTGCCCTTTCTACCTTGAAGTGAATGGGCCCAGCAGATCTCCTCAAAAGCCTCTGTTCTGATTGCACCTAGTTTTCTGCACCGTGTTGGCAAATCCAAGACTTGTCTCTGGTTATTACTGAGTTTCTGCTTAAAATCATCTTCATTAGGTTGGACCTTACTTAAAATGAAGATTGACAGGAAGAACAGCTCTTTGAGCTAGCTGATCTTCATGCAATGTTTCCAGTAGTGTTTTTTTGATGTCACTTTAATGAGACTAAGACAAATGTACTACTGAGAAAACTTGTCTGCAGCCATCCACTGACCCCAAAGACATGTTTTAACACATTTTGTTTGGAATAAACCCATGCACGTATGCTCTAGAACCCTATCTATAGTACTTTTGACTTACCCTCACATAGTAAGAGGAGTTCTTGAGGTGAGTTTCACACTAGGGGCTTATAGGCCTCCTCTTTCTGCCAGAATGATGCTACATTTGTTCCACACTGACAGCAATAGCTGCACTTTGCTCTCCCTGCACCTCACCAAGGAAAGGTGAGCTAACCTCAACAATACTTTGTTGAAGAGTTCAGTCTGTGCACTCTGCTGAACTTAATGGGAGAAGAGCAAAATGTCCAATTTATCTTTGACCTATTTTCATTGTTTATTTGCAGGTCTCATACTAAGCCCAACTTCTTTATCAATTCAGTGGCATCACCTGAGGTTTGCAGGGACAGAGCATTAACATATATACCTTCCCCGCCCCCGCCCCCCATTCCTTCCCAAGAAGCATCAGTGTCTCACAGGGCTTGCTGTAGAATTTTAAGCATCAGAACAGCCCAGCTCCCACCCTCAGCTGCTACCCACTTAGCGCTATTCTAACAACCCTGCTGCAGACATGAGGGAACAAGAGAGTTGCAACAGCTGATTCCACTCAGACCAGCCACTCTGTGACTACCAACTCAAGAAGAGCATTTCTCTCAGAATAAACATGAAATAGAAAGTCTAGATTTTCCATCCTACAAGGAAGCAACAACAAAGTGAGATTCCTAGGAACCATCCAGGATCATTACATCAATCTTTAAATGGATTTGAAAAACACCCCTAATCCTAAATAGGTCATGGTGTTTTGAAAGCACGCACAAACTACCTGTAGTCCTGTTTTCCTTCTTTGTCTCTCATTGGCACGGTACACCTGCAATAGTGACATAAGAAAGCATTAAGCAAACAATGTGTGTAGCATTGGTTGGTGATTACGCAGAAAGGGCGTTTCCTGACCAGTAAGGAACACAGGCAAATGCAAGTTCTCAGAATTAGCCAAACCTACTGCCATCAAGTTGATTCCAACTCATAGCAACACTATATAGGCTTTCCAAGACTATAAATCTTTAAGGGAGCAGACAGCCTTATCTGTCTTCTAAAGACAGACTAGTAGGATTTGAACCAGTGACCTTCGGTTAGCAAACCATTATTCCTTTCAGCCTTGTACAGGACACTTATATGAATACATTTTAAAAAAATTATAATAAAGAAAAGAGAAATGTTTAATAAAAAAAACTTTTAAATTCTGCAATGTTTCCAGCTTTCAACCAGCTCAAACTCTGGGCTTCTAGGATTTTTTAATCTTCAACTAAAAGTATAAAAGTCTCAAAATTCAGTAAGAAAATTAGTGTCAGTGTTACTGAAAGAAAAAGAAACAACAAAGGCATCTCTACAACTAGGTTTTAAACTCTCTTCTACCTTTAGCATAAATTGGTAGACATCTGATAGATTATTTAAATAAATAGATATTCTTAACAGCAAACTAGAAAAGTTGCAAGCAAGGGACGGGCCAGAATCTAAGACTAAAGCACTTATGTATAATAAATAAAACACTGTTAGCATCACTAGGTACTACAGTGGAGTCCTGGTATGCTGCTGCAGGATATACACTGGACTCCTTACAGCAAGGCTGGTGGTTTCAAACCCACCAGCTGCTCTTCTGAAACCCTATACAGGGTCATTATGAGTCAGATTCAACTCAGTGACACTTAAAAACAATACGGGGCACACTAACTTGATGTTGCTACTTTTTGGTAGAAGCCAGGTGATTTAAACCCACTGGCTGCTCCACAGGACAAAGCTGAGGCTACCTACTTCTGTAAGGATTACAGCCTGGGAAACCCTATGGGACAGTTCTACTCCTTCCTATAGGACCTCTGAGTTGGAATCGACACGATGGCAAGGGGTTTGGCTGGATGGGGTATATAATGACCCTGTAGGGTACTGCAGTCTTCTAATATTACTAATTCAGACCTTGAGGTACACTGAATATCTTCTCCAAGTTGTCTCAAGTTAGTCTGTGGCTGAGCTCAGCCTGCAGCCCAGGCCTCTCCTGCCCCACACAGTGGAAGTTAAGTTGCCTTTTCCCAAACTCACCCCAGCTTGGAATCAAACGAGCGGGTCTCATTCAGAATTTCACCTCCGTTCTCAAGTTCGTAGATTTGCCTCTGAATTTCATAGTCTAAGAAAAACACAGTAATTCAGTATCCTATTTTGAAATTTTGATTATACCTCTCCTCCAGTCAAGTAATAATTAGAAATCTTTTTTAAAAATTTTAAGTAAAAAACAATCATCAAGGAGAAGATGACTTATACTATTTCTTCCTATATGTGTCATATTGTCTTCTCCTCATCACTGCAGAATACTGGTACCAGAAAGGCCCACAGGAACTCTACCCAGTCCTGCTTTCTCACTTTTTTGATAAAACTCTGGTTCAGAGAGATTAAACAACTTAATACAGACCATACAACTTTGCAGAAGAAGGTCTAATGATTTCAGATTTAGAATTGCTGTCTCTTGAGAGTCATTACCCTGGGACCCACACATGAGATCCATCCTGGGACCTCCTGAAGTGATCTACAAATGTGGGTATAGGCATATGTACATTTTTTGGAGAGAAGGTCCTAGAGTTTCAAAGGGATCTGTGACCCCAAATGATTAAGAACCACTGTTCTATGTCATGTTCCTCTGCCGTCAAACAGGGCTGTGGTCAGAAAAACGTAAACGTAAACACAGTGGTTAATGAAGCTTCTTTAATGAAAACAGCTTTGGCCTCTCCCTCAACTCCCCTCTGCTTGCTCAAATCCAAGATTTGACCTGCTCAGAAGTAGCAACGTCAAAAGGTGTCAGCTTTCACTCGCCATTCCTCCAGTACCAGGGCTCTGATTGGCATGAGGTGCTGCCTAAAAGGCCAGCTATAGGCTTGGGAAGTTAGGCCATAATAGTAAATCTTTGATTCTTCTAGACTGAGTAAGAGTTCCACCAAGTCCATAATTCTGTCTTAGATTGTTGCACCTAAGGGTAGTTCATAGCACAACATGAGGTTAAAAACAACCAAAATCATGGCAGGGGGTCTCCTTCATAACTCATCTGGATTAATCTCTCTTGTTGCTTGTTTATTTGTGCTTAGGTTACTATTAGCACCTGTTAGAAGGAGTCCTGGAATACTCAGTATCTACAAGGCAAATTAGAATTTAATCTGTTCCAAGTTCCCCTTCAAAACACTGGGCTATCAGGATTTGCCCTGGCCCAAACCTTTCATGGCTTCAGAAACATAGATTATGTCCGCTGTTAGAGACAGAAGAAATCAGCCTCTGTAGTCTGTCTTCATATAGGAACCTTCTCCTGCTATAAACCTGACCATTTTAATGCTATTTTCCTAAAAATGTGTAGGTGCAGACTGTCTTCACTGAGGCTAGCTGATCATTTCAGAGAGTGGTGGCTCCGTACGATACGCACTTGCAAACCACAAGGTCGGCAGTTCAAGCTCACCAGCTGCTCCATTATAGAAACATGAAGTTTTTTGCTCCCGTGAAGATTTAGTGCTTTGAGAACCCTATACAAGGTCTCTATGAGTCGGAACCAACTTGACAACACTTAACAACACTCTTTTAGCCTTTTGTAATCTTTGAATTGCATCTAATACTTTTCATAACAAGGCCCAGAACTCTATTTAACATTTTGGAATATAGCAACACAGTCAGCTGTCCTGTTTTGGGTGCACACTTGAAGGGGTATCTCTAAGCCCCACCCCAACCTATAGTCTCTCTTCCTTTCTAGATCTCTTTGGTTTTATAACTATTTTTAGTCCTCTCAGATCCAGTCATCAGCTTGCATGGGACTTTCCCAGATGTTTATCATGTTTAACGGTTCAATTTCAACTACGCTACACTCATCATCATATTCTATGTTCACCAAAACACCCACAGCGTGTGAGCCAGGAAGACCAATACTTAATTCCACAAGCACATGTGGTTTATTAGTAGAATCAATAAGAAGCAGAAATAACCTATTGATAAATTAGGTCAAACAATGGCCAATCTCTGATGAACAAACATGATTTTGTAAAGTGGAGGTTCATCAGAAGGGAGTGGTAATTGGAAAACCGTGGCCACGGTAGTTTGCAGATCCTCCCAGAATTGATGGAGTCAATCTCCTCTACTTCTGAAACAGCTTAGGATTCAAGTTGCTTTAGTTCAAACTGCTTTGAAAAAACAGAATTTGTTGGACACCCAGGTTAAACAAGTGAGTGAGGGAAGAGCATGTGACCAGAGTAGCCTAGCAGACACTCAGCACCCAGACCCCAAGCATGTGAGTGCTGCCACCTGAGACTCTAGTTTCCATTGAGCTGCCAACTGACCGTGGCCACCTGAGTCAGTCCAGGTGCAGGCGCAAGACCAGCAGAATCACAAAAAGGTGAAAAGTAAAATAGTTACTAGTTTAAGTTGTTAAGTTTTTGGGGTGATTTGTTACACAGCAGTAGATAACAAATACAAAGAAGGATATTAGGCATAATAGCCGACACTCACCTATGGCTTTGGCCAAGAACCTGGCGCTGTTGAGGTTCTTCACTTCAGTTCGAACACCAAAAGGCTCCCCTGGGTGATGCACAGATATATTGGCGTCCACTCTCAATTGGCCCTCTGGAAGCAGGAAAAAATCTTTTAAAGGAGGTTGTATCTTTAGAAGTTCTTTGAGGCAACATGGTCTTTTAAAGGAGGTACGCAGAATCTGACATGCAAGTAAGCAATATCTACCAGTACTTTCTGTTCAGAAAAGGCACGGTTGGTCCTGAAGTACTTCTGCCCACCTAAGTGATGGTACTCAGGCATACGGGCTGCCTGTGTGTACACACATATGTGTACTTGTGTACATACCAAAGAAGAAATCCTGGCTATATCAGCTAGAGGCTCTAATTTCTTTTGTGCTAAATAAGAACACTTACAATGAAGATTTACTCTGCAATTTCATTCTGAAGTAATTTTTCAAAGTATTGTCACTGGGTTGGGGGAACCCTCAGAGAGATGATTATGTGATAGCCCTACACTGCTCTCCAACACAACGTGGATTTCTAAAAGCGATTCCAGGAGATTTATAAGAGTCCCCTTGAGAATTTACAGCTCAAGGACAAGAGCCAGAAACCTCGGCTTTCTCCCTCCCCGTTTTTCTAGGTACTGTAATAACCTCTTCCTTCCAAAACCCTTATTCTGCATCCTTCTGATTGCTGAAGCCAGAAGACTGTTTTGAAGTGGAGACTAAGCTCAGGCTGTCCCCATCCTGGGAGGACATTCTTGGAGTCAAAAAGTCCCTTCAAATTGCTGTTGTGGTTTGGTGTCATTGAGTCGGTTCCGATTCATAGTGACCCTATGCACAACAGAACGAAACACTTCCCAGTCCTGTGCCATCCATAATTGTTTTGAGACTACTGCTACTGCCACTATGCCAGTCCATCTCATTGGGGGTCTTCCTTTTTCTCAATGACCTTCCACTTTATCAAGCATGATGTCCTTCTCCTGACTGGTCCTTCCTTACAGTAGGTCTGGAGTACAAGAGACCCTCTAGAGAAGCAGGTGATGTGTGGAGGCAATTTAGAGGTTACTGTGGAAGAGGAAGAGGGAAAAATCCCAAAACAAATAGAGAGATGGAGATTAGAAAAAAAAAAAATCACACTGTGCGCCTTCCAAAGGAAAGCTCAAATTCCCTAATATCCCATTTAATTTTTAATATCTACAACAGAGCAGAATGAAGAGAGGGAATGCTGGTTTCTATTTTCCTGGTTAGGTTTTTTCAATGGAAAAAGTACTCTGTCAAACATAAGTGTTCTAACGAGCTGAATACAGAAATTCACTTCCCAAAGTCCCGCAGCAAAAATATACAACCCCCCCCCCAAAAAAAAATAAATGAAAACAAAATAAAGTCCATGCCAAGTAAAGGAGACCCAGGAAACCGGCTTTCTGCATGCCTCCAATGCTGAGCTGCGAAGCTCACTCTTCCACTAGGCTCGAGACGCTGACTAGCTATGGCTTGCCCTTATCTTCATTTGCTGCCCCAGAATCAGGGGTGAGCACACCCACTGGACAGCTCTCGCTGCAACAAGCTGACAGCCAGGAGAAAGGTGCTCTTCAGCTTGAAAACTGCTCAATAGTTTTATGAAATCATGTAACCCCTCGTATGTTTAACAACCTTTTGGATAATCTGAGACTGTCTGAATCTCAAGAAGTTCCAGCTATTCTAACATCTGCAGAAGTCACCATTAGCTTATTCATTTTTCTTGTCTTTTATATTCAAGTAGTTAACTAAATACTACTGATTCTTCTTTCCAAACATCCCTCAGACCTGTCACTTCCTCTCCATTTCTACCGCTACCACCATTACCTGCCGTATTGGAACACCAGGCCTAGATTAGGGAACTGCATCCCTCCTTGTTCAGTCACCACCCACAATGTGGCTGCTCCTTTCATCCTGCTACAATATGGTTTTCATCATTCCAGTTACCTCCTCAAGAGCAGACAGTTCCAACTGGATCATCCCATCTCCTCTGCTTACTATTCAAGAGTCCTCATTTAGTTCCAGTTGGCAAGACCTCATATTTCCACTACTCATTTCATGAGAAAGCAAGCTCCAATAAAGAGGGCTTTTTTTTTTTTTCCCCATACAACTCCCATTCTACCCAGTGGCTCCCACACACTATCATTGTTACTGCTCTTCCTTCTTTTCAACTTCTGCTTGTCCTTCAAGGTCCCACTTGTATCTTACCACCTCCTCCTCCAAGAAACCCTCAGCAATAAACGAGCTTCCGCTGGCGGTGCCTCTCAATGATCAGAATATACACAATCTATGCTAGAAAATTTAATGCATGATGATACTCTATATTGAATTGTTGATGTTAAGTGCCATCGAGTCAGTTCAGTTGGAATCACCCATCTTGTGGTTCAAAAAGATATTGCAATCCAGCGCATTAACCCACAGCGCCACACCAGGACTGAATTGGTGGTGGTGGTTATGTGCCATGGAGTCAGTTCTGACTCATAGTGACCCTGTACAGGGTTTCCGAGGCTGTAAATCTTCACAGGAGCTGAACAGCTGGTAGTTCCGAACTGCTGCCCTTGCCGCATGCTGCCCGACTCATAACCACTACACTACCAGAGGACTGAATTAGCCATCTTTAAAACCAAAATGGAAGGCTCCTGAGATTTCAAATGCCCATCCCGCTTGTCTTCTAAGGGCTTCACTCTTCCAGTTATCACCTCTCTCCCACATCAGCATGCCCTGACATATACATATACAGTAACATTTCTCATTAAAAAAAAAACCAAAAATCTAAACCTCACAATAAAAACTTGAAAAAAAAAAAAAAAAAAGAGAACCCTGAGAAAACTCACTACCATGTTGATCTTTGAGTCCTGAGGTCTCTATTTGGTCTATCTTCTTTCAGTCTTTCAGAGTTTATGATTGTTCAATATATAATGACCACGGTTTTTACTTGTAACTTGTCATAAGCAATAGTTAAATGCATATTTACTCCACTATACCAGAGTCAGAAATCTTACTGTAGAACTTCCATAATTAGAAATAAAGGTGAGACTATATGGTTAAAAAAAAAAAAAAAAAATCTAAAACTATTCCCTTGAGCCCAATTCTCGATCAAATCCATCACTTAGCTACCATTTCCTGTCTTCCTTTTCAGCAAATACTCTCAAACAAGTTTTATTTGTTCCACATATTGTCTCATTTTCTCATCTCCCATCTATTCTTAAACCTACTTCGGTCTGGCTCTGTCCTACCTCTCTGAAAATGTTCTTGTCAACCAATAGCCTCCTGTTGCCAAATCTAACGGACACACTTTGTTGTCATCTTACCTGACACCTCAGCAGCATGTGACATACCAACCAATCCTTCCTTCTTGAAATATTTCCTCTCTCAGCTTCTGTGACCTTTGCTCTCTTGTTTTGCTTCCTATCTCCCTGAACATTCTATTTCCACTTCATTTGCTGGTGCCGTCTTTCCTAGCCAAACTCAGGATCATCTTCTTTATTACTTACACGTTCTTTATAGGGGTATGTGACTTTAAATAATTCCTATGGGCTGATGATGTAAGTCTCTGGGTGGTGCAAACATCATGGAGTCCTGGTGTGGTGCTGTAGGATAAGCAATCGACTTCGGTGGGTTGGAACCACAAGGCTGGCGGTTCAAACTAAACAGTGCTCCTTGGAAACCCTATACAGGGTCACTATGAGTCAGAAGCAACTCAATGGCACTTAACAACAACAACAAAGGCAGATCATAAGAAAGACCTGGAAATCCATTTCCGAAAACTCAGCCATGGAAAACCTTATGGAGCACAGCTCTACTCTGACACACTGGCACACTGGGTCACCAGGAGTCAGAACCCACTAGATGGCAACATGCATGTCTCTTTAGCCCAGACCTCCACTCTGAGCTCTCTACTTACTTCCAATCTCTACTTGGAGACCTCACAGGTACTTCAATTTCTAAAACTAAATTCGGATTTTCCCCTCTACAGTTATTCTTGTTCTCGTCTTTCCAATTTCAGTACAAATCATACCACTATCTAGCTTCACAGACTTCCTTGAAGGCAGCTTTGATTTCTTCCTGCCCCTTACCTTCCATACCAGCCTACTAAGACATTCTGCTGTTCCTATTTCTAAAAACTATCTTCAACCAACTTTATCTTGATCGCTTCATCTTCACTGACACCAGGCCTGTCCAAGACAGCCTCATCTTCTCTCTGAATTATTGCAAAAGTCTCCTAAAAGGTCATTTTGCTTCTACTCTTCCCATCTGAAATCCACTTCCACAGAGCAGCCTGAGTGATTGTCTAAAACATGAATCAGACCACATCATTCCTTGGACTAAAAGTCTTTCGATGACTTCCCACTTGGAATACAACCTAAACTGTGTTTTATTATCTGTAATCTAGCCCTTGTCTACCTTTCAGCCTATCACATACTTCCTGGCCCCAGAGCATTAATTATGCTTCCCCCCACAGTGGTTTCTGCTACCTTCTCAAATACCCTCAGCTCTTTCTCTTCTCAGGGCTCAGCTATTCCCTGGAATGCTCATCCCCTAACTCTATGCTGACTGGGGCCTTGAATCTTTCTGCAGGCCCTCTAAGAGGCCTTTAATAAGCCACACCTTCCTTCACTTTCAAACCCACTATTATATACCATTTTTTGTTGTTGTTAAGTGCCATTGAGTAGGTTCCAACTCATAGCAACCTTTTGTAGGGTTTCCATGTGGTCCTGTGCTTTATCTTACAACACCATACCAGGACTCCTTATATATCATGTTGCTGTTGTTAGGTGCCACTGAGTTGGTTCCAACACATGACAACACTATGAACAACAGAAAACATTACCTGATCTTGTGCCAACCTCACAACTGTTGCTACGTTTGAGCCCACTGCTGCTGCCACTATGCCATTCCATCTCATTGGAGGTCTTCCTCTATTTCACTGACCCTCCACTTTACCAAGCATGATGCCTTTCTCCAGGGACTGGTTCCGACTGACAAAATGCCCAACTGTTGTTAAGTGCCATCAAGTTGGTTCTGACACATAGTGTCCCTGTGTAGGGTTTCCAAGGAGCAGTTGGTGGGTTTGAACTCCAATCTGTGGATCAAA